AATAGACTGTGTTCCGGTCTTCTCGCCGGGGGATTCTGATTTAACCGGCCCTGGGTATGGCCCTCAGCATCGCATTTTAAAAACTCTCATGTGCAGCCTGGTGTGAGAACCCCGCCCTTCCAGCACTTTCTGCCCGCCGAGCCTCCCGTCCAGGCTGCAGGGCCGATGGCTGGCCTGAGCGGCTGTGAGGTGGGTGTGTGTCTCCTGGGGGCCTCTCCTGAGGTGTGCTGGGTGGGCAGGGCGCACCTTTCCCTCCAGATTCACTCACCGTGGGCTCCTGCTCCTTCTTCCTCAGAGGCCCTGTGCTTGCTCTTGAGAGGATAACAGATTTCTTTCTCCCCCTTTTCTGTGCAAAATAGCGAAATTCCTGCCTCAGGAAAAAGTGAGAACTTCCCCGGGGGCTACACTCATTTGGCTGCTCAAGCGGCTCCGTTCAGAGCTGGAGCTGAGCGAGGGCCTGCTGAGGGTTTGGCAGTAGATGTAAGAAAAGTGAGGGATCTGAGCAGGATTTGAACCCAGCACCTTTCAGGGAATCTATGAAACGGCCCTGTCTTGAGATGTTGGCTCCAGGGTCCACTTAAAGAAGCATGCTCTTGTCTGTCGCTGCCCTGTGTCTGCTTGGAGCTGGCCTTGAACTTGCCTTCTGGTGGTTGCCTCCAAGCTCCCGATGATCCTACCCCTCCCATCCTCTTGCCTATTGGCTCCATTCCTTGCGCTCCCCACTCCATGCCTCACTGGATGTTGGTGAAACAAATCTAGCCTAAAATAATGAGCAATCAGCTACCCTGGTGCTCGGGGCAGGCTGGGCAGGGCTGAGGGAAGGGGTGGGGAGCTGAATCATTTATAAAGCTTAATAAAGATGCAGATGAGCAGTGCTGAGTAGGAACCCCAGAGCTGGGCTTATTCATTATTCAACGTTATGCAAATGCCACTGGGTCCTGCATGATAGAATCCTGCCCCTTGTCCCTCCCCCACCCCCGCCCCACTCCCACCCCAGCTGACAGATCCAATCCACCTTGCACATCCCACTCCTACACCTGGCAACCCATTTCCAGGTTAATAAGGATCCTAGATCCCCCTCTCCCGGAGGGATTACCACAAGCCCTGGCCTTCAGGTGAGCCTCTCCAGGCCCAAGGAAAAGGGCTTCTTCATGCCCAAGACCCACAGGAAGGGCTCCAACTGTGCTTGTGCCCTGTCTTAAACAGCTCACATCTCCGCCTAATGAGATAGATTTCCTGAAGGCTAATCTCAATCCCTCTTGCTGCATAGAATGTCCAACACAGAAATAAGCAGATTCTCTCTCATCACTCTGCCTGAGAAGGGAAATGCAGGCACCAGGCACGACTGGAGTCATTTTCCAGCCTCTGTGTCCAGCCAGCAACTCTGGTCACCTCGTTTTGGCTCTCCACAGCGCTGAACCTCTTCCAGGTTGGAGTCCTATCCCTTAAGCTCTCATTGACCAGTCCTGAGCACACTGCGTGGCCCCTCCTTTCCCCACCATGCCTTCACATCACTGAGGCCTCCCCTTCTCTGCACCTCTTTCCCCACCAAGACCTCATTTGTCAATTTGGTGAGGCTGAGAGATGAAGAATTGGGTCAGAGTGGGGAGCAGCATCGATCGCCTGGGCTCCCCCTCCTTCTCTGGCCTGGCTCTTCTCCCTCCACAGCCCCGGTCTATTTTTAGCCTGCCTCTGTTTTCCTTAGTCTGGTTGGCAACCACTCTGGCCTCTTTCTCTTCATTGCCCTTATCTCTCCCTTGCAGCCTATGCAGACCCTAGCTGCCCCTCCTGAGGACTCTCACTGCATCCCAATTGCTTTTGATTTCCTTCCATCTTGACGATATGTAGGGGCTACCCATAAGGGGATGCCTGGCCACGCTCAGGCAAAAGGAAGGCAATGAGATAACTCTGTGCTGGGCAAATCCTTCACTATCACAGAGGCCCTCCCATTGTCCTCCAATCCCTTCTGCAGGAACTTCTGCTTCCCTGTGCACCCAGACTTCTCCCTGTATCACCTCTCCTGTGATCCCGTCCAGCCACAACTAAAAAAGCTCCCTTCCTCCAGCCTGTACATGCTGGGCCTCGGCCTCTGGCTTTGGCCCTGGTTTCCTCTTTGGTCTTCAGGTTGCCTGTCTTTCCTTACCTGACCCCTGTTTGGCCCCATTCTATGCTAGCCTGGCCCTACTCCTGCTGTTCTGCCTTTCCTGGCTTTAGCTTACACGGGGTCTCTCTTGCAAAGGCCTAAGCCTGCTCAGGCAAGGTTTGGTAGCCTCCCCCATTTGTCCTTTCTCAGCCTCTGCAAGACATTGGTCTCCCCTTTTGGCTGTCACTGACAAGCTGAATAAAGCTGGATATTTTGGAAGGGGAACTGCAGCTGGCTGGGGGAGGAGGATGGCGCATGGCGAGGCAGAGGAAACAGAAGGCAGGCGGTGGGCCACAGAGCCGATGGGTGTTCCTTAGATGGCACTCACCAGCTTCGTCAGCATGAAAGTTGCTGAGCTCACTGGCAGGGTGCGGGCCCTTTTCCACAGTTGGTCTATCACACACACACACACACACACACACACACACACACACACACACACACACGTCGCCCCCTCCTCACAGTCCCTTGCTTTGTGGCTCATCCCTTTTCTTTTTCAAACAGGACGAAGCTGGCCTCAAGCTCATCCTGTTGTAGCCGAGCATGATCTTGAACTTGTGGTCCTCCTGCCTCCATCTTCTAAGCGCTGAGATTACAGGTATGCACCATGCCTGGTTTATGGGTTGCTGGGGTTCTGGACCTGGGGCCTCCTGCATGCCAGGCAGATATCTACTGAGTGAGCCACATTCCCTCAGCCCTCCACACCATAGACATCCAGTGGGTGGTTCACCCTTGATGGCCCATTCCTCAGTAAGATCACCCCTGGCCACTCATGGGAAGGCTCAGCTTCCCCCAGTGTTTCCTGTCCTCCCATAGTCTGATATCCCCCAAAGCGCTAGCCACCTTCTCCTGTGTTATAATTCACATGCATGAGTTCCTCACATCTCCTCACTGCCACCACCAGCTCCATGAGAACATGAATTTTTTTAAAGTCGTGGTAGAATACATATAGCATTTACCGTCTTAGCTATTTTAGGTGCGTAGTTAGCTCAGTGGCATTAAACACATCCACACTGCTGTGCAACCAACTTCCAGAACTTTTTTCATCCTCCAGCACTGTAGCTCTGGACCCATAAGCAAAGCACTATTTCCACCCCCCTCTCTCAGCCCCTGGCAGGCCATTCTCTCCATCCGTCTGTAATCTTACCACTGGACTCATGGAAGTGGAACTGCAGAGTATTGGTCCTTTCCTCTCTGTTCATTTCAGTTACCATGTCCTTGTTTCAGCCAAGACATGCATACATCAGGGTTCTCTTCCTTTCAAGACTGAAGACTATCCCATGACATGTACAGGCTACATTTTGTTCACCCACCCATGCGTAATAGACATCTGGGCTGCTTCTGCCTCTTGGCTGCCGTGAATAACGATGCTATAAAACAGGTGTATGAATATTTTTTTGAGACCCTAGTTTCAAATCTTTTTTTGGAGATATACCCAGAAGTGAAACTGCCAGGTCATAGACTACTTTGCTTTCTAATTTTTTTTTTTAAGCCCTTATGCTGGGTAGTTTTATGTCAACTTGACACAAGCTGGACTCATTTGGGAAGAAAAACTCTCGACTGAGAAAACCTCTTGGTAAGATCAGACTGCAGGCAAGTCTGCAGGGCCCTTTCTTAATTAGTGATTGAGGACGCAGCCTCAGTGAGTGGCGCCACCCCGGGGCTGGTGGTTCTAGGTGCCGAGAAAACCAGGAGAAGCAAGCCGGTAGGCAGTACTTCTCCTGAGCCTGTCTCAGCTCCGCTCGGGGCTCCAGGTTCTTTCCTTGAGTTCCTGTCCTGACTTCCCTCAGCAATGGAGTGTGACTTGATAGTTGTAAGCTGAAATAAACCCTTTCCTCCCCTACTTGTTTATGGTTCATGGTGTTTTATCTCAACAATAGAAACCCTAACTGACTAAGGCAGGCCCACTCTGCTGCTTTGTAACAGGGATTTCCATCTGTGTGTTTACTGATTGTCTTAGTCTCTTTTTCTGTTGCTGTGACAAATATTCTGGGAAAAAGCAGCTTAGGGAAGAAAGGGATTTATTTGGCTTACCATCCCAGTTCTGAGCTCATTATTGTAGGGAAGTCAAGGAAGAACCTTAAAGTATCACCTAGGGGCCCTGCCTAGGGAATGATAATGCCCGGAGTGGGCCAGGCTTTCCCATGTGGGTCAACAATCAAGACGACCCCTCACCGACATGCTCACAGGCCAGCCTAGGGAGTCCTCATTGAGATTCTCTTCCCAGATGATTCCAGGCTGTTTCAAGTTGACAGTCTAAAACTAACAAGTGCCCTGAGGCCTCTACACAGTGCTTGCACATTGTAGAAACTAAATCAATGTTTATGTATCAGATGAGTTCCTGATAGTATCTGACCCTTACATACCTCTGTATAGTCGGTCAGTGCTATTATTACTATTTTATAGAGTCTGAGTTTCTGAGAGAACCAACTGAAATTGCCCCCAAAGCAGACTTGGCATTGGGCTGACACCATCAGCTGGTTTTTGAAACTCACTGGAGAAATCACAACTAACACCTATGTCTGGGCCTGAAGGACTAAGGTAAGTAATTTTTTTTTTTTTTTGTGATGTATTTCTTTGTATTTCATTGTTCAGGTTCCCTGTATGTAGTTCCTCCTGTCATATCCACCCAACATTGTCCTAGCTTCTCTCTCCCCAGAACATGTAAGATTGATCTTGTTCTCCAGGAATGGAGATGGCCCTATCTGGACATCACCCGCCCCCTGGCTTTTGGGTACAGTCTAAGCCAGTGGCTCTCAACCTGTGCATCATGGTCCTTTCACAGGGGTCACATATTAGATATCCTGCATATCAGATATTCACATCACGATTCATAACAGTAGCAAAATTACAGCTATGACATAGCAACAAATATAATTTTATGGTTGGGGGTGAGCACAGCATGAGGAACTGTATTAAAGGGTCACAGCGTCAGGAAAGTTGAGAACCCTGGTCTAAGCACATCAACCTTGCCTGAGTCCCCGTTCACACCCCTCACCCCTCCACCCACCCAGGGGTAGTTACAAGCCCCATTCTCTTCCATAGCAATTAGTGCAAGGAGGCCAGCCGATTCAGTGCTAATGCTGTTTCATTAAGTGGGAGCAATCCTAATGATAATAAAATGGCACATTTAACATTCAAACATTGAACGGGGTTTCTAAGCAAGTGTGTCTCTTGCTTTCTTTCCGGTGTAACAGTTCCGTCTTCATAAGGACCTGACAATACACCTTAATGAGAGAGTGGGGAGCTAAACATCTTTACAGGTCCAGACAGAAGATGAGGACAGACAAAGCAGCAGGCGCGAAGGGCACAGTGCCTCGGTGGTTTGGAGACTCCATGGATTCCTGTGGTACTAATTTAGATAATTAGAGCTGATAAAAAATAGAGTTATATAGAAAAATAAAGGCCTCCCCGGGCATTATGCAATGCAGTTTTTTGTTTGTTTGTTTGTTTCAGCAACTTTTTTTTCTGGCAAATGTTTATTTATTAGAGGTAAGACTGTATGAGAGTTGGTGATGGCAGCTGGCTCAAGTTTTTGGCAAAGAAACCCAAAGGCACTAGTGGTTTATAAAAGATAATCTCTTTTACATTCCCCTGGGCAGATTTAGTCAAAGCAATCTCAAATGTATCCAATGTCCCAGCAGAGAGAAATTTAAGGAGGCCTTTAGTCTCCTGAGTGCATCTCTAGCCCCTCCCCCACTGAGAGATCTGGCTTAAATTTCCTCGCTGTGCTGTGATGGTGAATCTCTGGCTGACTTTCTGGGCTAAGAAAAGAGATGGACTCGGAAGGCTGATTGGGGAAGGAGGTGCAATCATTTGGTGTTTACAGGAGATTCTATAGAAGCAGGAGGAAAAGAAATATGTCAAGGCCATTTTCTTCTCTTAGAAGTCTTCCCCAGGAGGGCTCTCCTGCCCAGGAGTCAGCTGGGGTCAAAGGTGGGCTTTGCTCAGTGTAGAGAAGCGGCTTATTCGAAATGGTGCCAAGTCATAAGATGGCGGTAATTTCATGCTTAGCTCATAGAGGATCTTCCCCACAACAGGGGCCAACTTAAAACCATGCCCTGGGAAGAGAAGAATGTGTCATGTATCTTCCAGAACAGACCCTGGACTCCAGAGAAGTTCCCTCCTTCCTCTTCCCCAAAGCCAGAGATTGCCTCCTGCCCCACGTACCCCCTTTTATGACCGCCTCCCCTCCCTGTACCCAGTGTCCAGACTTCAGCTTAGGCGTGCAGGACTCCCTTTTGTCTGGTAGGTTTGCTTTCAGGCCAGCCCTGCCTCCCTCCTTCCTCAGACTCACCAGAGAATCCAGCACCGATGACAATGTTGTCATACTTTGGGTGGCAATCAAGAAGAAAGTGCTCATCGGGAGTGTTCTAGAGCAAAAAGAAGCCCCGCCTGTGTCCTCTGAAGACAGGTAAGAACTAGAGGCTCTGGCGGGAAGGAACTGGCCTGGGACTGGCTTCAGCGAGAACTGGATGGGGCTGAGGGCTGCTCTCTGCTTGCCCAAACCCATCCAGACATACTGTTCTCACTGAGTAGCTGTCATTCTCCTACTGTGCCATGGTCACAGCAGGTAGTCATTTTTGTGCACTGGCTTCAGCCAAGATGCCTCGGGCCCGGTGGCATCTGTCTCTTCTCTTATCCCTAAGGCCTGCTCAACTGGGAGCATCTTGCCAAGAACTGTTTTAGAGCTCTTCTGGGAAATATAGGGAAGGGCTGCCAGGCAAAAGCCTCGCCGCCTAATAAAAAGGAATATGAATAATCTTTAACAGGCCCCTCTCTTATGGAGGTGAACCAGTCCACAGGAATTAACTGGCTAGTTTAAAGTCACACACAGGTCAGAGGTCAAATGGAGTCAGGCCTGGCCAGCTGTGGGTCTGTCTATTCCCTCCCCTGTTTTGCCCTTTAGAAAGGCCCCCTCACCGTGTACATGCAGCGCTCCATGATGTCTGGCTCGGGCCGCAGGCCTGGTAAATGATCCCTGACAAAGCGGCATAGGATCGGAACGTCTTGGATGTCTGAGAAGGTTGTGGGGCAGTCCCGCTCCTCTGGGTCCACATTGTCACCATGGTGATAGCAGATCTACCCCACCATTGGAAAAGCATGGGCTGTAAAGCTGGCCATGAGCATCTCAGCCAGCGAGGGGTGGGTTTGGACACAGGATGTCTCCACCCATCATCCCAGCCCCCGACTCTGGCAGGGGCTATTGTTAGCAGCTGGAGTTGCCAGGCGCTCATCTCCAGCCCCACCCTGTGTTTAAGAGCTTATGCTGAAAATGGCCCAATAGTGAAGCAGACTCCAGGAGGGTCCTACAGAGGTATGGCAGCATGGAAGCCCAGACCTGACGGGTACCTAGGAGCACAGTAGCCTTGGTAGCCATTTTTTTTAACTTACCTTCATCAGCCCCGGGTACTCTGATGCTGGCAGTCCGTAGATGTGGTGGGGGGCCAGATCCAGAGCCAGGATGCATGGAAAAGCCTGCGACACGCTATAGCTCCCAGGGACTTTCTCTCGCCAGTAACACACATTAATCCTAAGGGTCTTGATACAGAAGGAAGTAGGAGATAAAAGGGGGAGCTGTGGAGCTCTGTAGAGATGACAGCAGGTTCTGGTAGGTTCCTGTGGACCTTTAACTTCCAACCTGCTTAACCTAGTTCTTATGTCATGTACTAATAATACACATCATGTTGCTCAGTGGTCTCCAAACCTCTCTTGTCCCTATTCTTAGTTTTCTGCCAGAGCAGCCCTCCAGCCCTACTTTACCATCTTTTCAGGAGTTGATGCACTTCATATTTATGCTCACTACAAGTCTGGCTCTCCTGGAGGCTCTGGTGTATCACAGCAGATAATTCAATTCACCAATGGCCTTTTGAGGTAGCTGTTACTTCCCATAGTGGTAAAACTGAGGTGAACTAAATTTGCCCAGCGTTAACCCTTAGAAACTGGCAGATCCAAAGCTCACAGTCCAGTCTGGCTGGCTCTAAGGTTTCTTTTCTTAACTACTGACTCTCAGGCCTCCAGCTTGCCCTACCTGGAGAGGCAACTCAATTCCCAGGGGACGGAGGATCCGGTTGGTCCAGGGACCCGCAGTGATGACCAAGCTGCTGGCTTGGTAGCTCTTTGCGGTGGTCTTCACCGTGACGGGCAGGCCAGGTCTTATCTCCACTACCTTCTCTCCATCGCACACCACGCCTCCTAGCTGACAAATTCGATGCTGAAAGGGCAAGGACGAGAAAGAGGAATTAGTTGTGTATGTGGTTCACCCAGGGAGACAAAGAGCCCCTCACTTAGGGCAGGCAAGAGTATGGACTTTAGTCCTTCCCTTCCAGGTTGATAAAGAGGCCAGTAGGTGTTCTAAAAAGAAGAGGAAACTCGTAGCATAGTGAACAAAGCAAAGACATGTCCCCGGGCTGCCTGAGGAGGGGCCTGGGCGCCCAGAGAAAGCAGCTGCATTGCCCTGGGCCTGCACAGCCTCACCTGGAGGGCTCGGAGGGCCTTGTCTGCATAGAGGACACCTCCAGTCTTGTCTAAGAGCCCCACTTCTCCCCTGGTGAACCGAATGTTTGGAAAACGTTGCTTTAAATCCACTGGTGAGAGATATTCGTGGTCAGTCCCATGCCTCGACAGTGTGGCCTGGATTGTCTTTAATCCTGGATTCTCCTTCATCCCCAGCAACAAGAGCTCAGTCTGCCTGTTTCAAAAGAAAAAGCCAGATGGGTGAAGGGATTTACCCTGGCCCTGGCCACCTATTCTCATTCCTCGGTGAGGGGCCCGTGTCTATAGCAGTTGCAGCTTCGTCTAAGGTTCCGAGCACAGGTAAAGCCATCTAGAGCCCCGGCATTCTCCAGGGGTTTCCAGACCATTCCCAAGTCCTCCTTTGGCACTCACTGTTGCTTGTCCCTCCATCCTGCTCTTGACAACGGAGGTCCTAAGGCCCCAGGACCTTTCCTACTTGGAAATGCCATATGAAATGGCAGGTGTCCACTCAGATGTGGTTTCTTAGCCTTTCTCCCGGTCCCTCTTTGCGGAGTGCTCTGTGCTATTCCATCTCCTTTCCTTTTCAGTTCCTTCCACCACCACCCCTTTCTTCAAAGACTTATTTTTATTACGTTTTTAAAATTGTGTATGTGTGTGCGCACGTGAGTGTAAGGGCCCACAGAAGCTAGAGGTGTCAGAGAATCCCAGGAACTGGGACTGCAAGCAGCTGTGAACCTCCTGACATGGTTGCTGGAAACGGAACTCAGGTCCTCTGGAAGAGCAGTGTGGCTTCTCGATGTCCCAGCAGTCTCTCTTCTTCTCATACACTGCTTTGTCCTTCTTGTGCATTTGTCTGCCTCATTCTTCTTCTCCGTGGCTGCTTGTTTCATGGAAAAGAAGATCTGGTCCTGCTTTAATCCGGGTGTCACCTCGGGGTGGCCTTGACTGGTGACTCACTGTTCCAAGACCCAGATTTCTCCTCTGAAACCCAGGATATTGATTCCCTATCAGGGTTCCCCTTCAGGCCAGTGGGAGTGGTGCCGGCTGTTTGGTGGTTGTCAGGATGCCACTCACGTGGAGTGGACAGGGGACAGGGATGCCAAGCCTGCAGCACTCCTGAAGGTCACCCCAAGGCCTATGGCACTTTCACACACAAGCACAAACACTGATGGTGCATAAAGTTCCAGCAATAAATTCAAGAGATTCTCTGGTTTTGAATCTCCCTGGGCTTCTCCCATGTTGCTCTCAAGGAGAGAGCAGTTTCCTTTGATGCTTCCTGCCTTTCTGCCTTAAAGACCAGAGTCTCTTGGGGGGGGGGGCTATCTAAAGGATGGAAAGGTGCCCCCGGCACTTGGGACCGTTCCTGTGTTCCCTCTTGTCTTCAGGAGCCCCACAGCCCAGCAGCAGCCTGCTGCATCCCCCAGGTACTGCATATAAAGCTCGTAATAGCCTATAATGGAGTCTCATGGATATTACATGCTTCCAAATCCCACATTATCTGGTTGTGGGGATTAAAGAGAAGACTGGGAGGGGGTAGGGATGCAGTGGGCCTGGGGGCTGGTGTCAGTACACAGAGCCTCGCAGCATGTCCAATCCATTTGCCATGGCCCCCGCCTACCCAGCATTCATGGTGAGATAGTGACGCCAGCTCTGCCTCTTCAAAGCTCAGCTTAGGCTAGATGAGGCAGAATCCCCAGCGAGGAGTGAGTCTCCTTTCCGTAGCCTCCCCAAACTTCAGATTACTTCTTCAAGTCATACAAACTTGCCCCTTCAACTACTTGATCATTGAGATAATTAAGAAGGCGCCCCAAAAAACTTAGTGGACAGCGCTTGGCTAGTGCACAGGGGTCCTTGGATCTCATCCCAGAGTCTCCAAAAAGAAAAGAAACCGTGCCCCGTGTTTCATAGTTGGTGAATGGTGCTGGGGGTGGGACCCCGCGTTTTCCTACACACTAGGCAAGCCACACACCCCAGCCTCTGATGTGTGTTTTTGTTCTGTTTTGCTTGAGAAAGGGACTTACTATGATTCCTAGACTGTTCTCAACCTTGAGCTCTTCCGGTCACTGTCTCCCAAATATTGGATTTCAGGCAGGCACCACTACGCCTACTCAGATGTTCTTGAAGCATATGGCTTACGGCTCACCTAAGCAGATATAATGTCAGCTCTCTGGTCCAGTAACCCCACAGAGTGTCTCTTAAGCCCTGCCTGCAATAGAGCAGCCTTGGTCCCTCATGCACTCCGGGTTTAGCTTTCCTTCCTCCACCTGGCCTTCCTTCCTTCTTTCCTTGAAACAGAACTCCATTCGCAGAGACATATTGTGTGGGGAAAATGAAATTGTGCCAAGACAATGGGCAAATCTGTCGAATTATGAAATGCTGAGTGATGTTCTAATTCCCAAGTTGTCCTGTGGTGGATGAAGCCTGCTCCCCAACCCTAGGAGTAATCAGGGCGCTGATTCTGCGGTGAATGTAATTGTGCCGATTGTAATCATTTTGCTCCAGCTCTCTGCCCCTGTGGCATTTATTTCTTCGCCCAGATATTGATCTAACAGTGGGAAATTTTCCATCTGAAGCTGTGATGCCGGACCCTGCCCAAGTCCAAAGATATGTTTGGGAAATTCTCATTTTCCGTGGATCACAGCTGAGCTATTTGGCCTGAGGGAAACTGTGCACTGTTGGAGAAATGTCTTGGATTGGAGAGATTTTTGACCATTATGAGCAAATCGGAAATAAATGTAAAACACTGCCTGGAAATGCAAAGGCCTGTCATTACAAGAGATAGGTGAGGGTCCTATGGGAAATGCTCAGAGAATTGGAAATCAGTCAATCAAAACCAAGATCGCAGACGGGCCTTTCCCCCAGTATGAAGACAGATGACTTCCACAAGCAGATTGAAAATCATTTAAGTGCTTATTTTCCTAATGGTCTTTCCTAGGTCCCAATAAATAGACTGCTCATTCTGCATCAATTTCTTACCCCTGTGCTCAGGGATCCCCCTCCTCTTTTCTTTTTCTTTTTTTCCTTAGACACAAGCTACAAAGTTTGAGAACAAAAAAGGTGAAAGAACAAAAGCCTTTACATAGGGGGAAAAAAGACTTAGGAGATGAATAGCTGGGGCTAGCCTGTAGAGGAACTAAAATCTGGGGTTACCAGGGAACCCCAGCAAGTTTGCAGCTCCCACCTCCCGGACGCACAGCCCTTGGCATGAGGGACACCCTGAAGCCTGCTCTTGAGGCCTTGTTGCCGCCTCTGTGACCCACAGACTCTAGGAGCCAGCTGGTGATCGACCAGGAATCTCCAGCAGTTGCTAAAATGGGGCAAGGGGTCGGGGGGGGGGGGGGGAGGGGCAGACCACGCTCCCTGAATGGGAATTTTCCATTTTCCAGCACGGGCTCCGGTGCTCTTTTCTCTTTTCTCCAGTTCAAAGTGCCAGTTGAGCCAGCTCTCGGCATCACCTTGGGGAAGGGCCTTGGTAATGGCTGCTGTCTTTGTTGGTTTGGGAACAGCTCTCTGCATTTCATCTTCCGCTCAGTGGGCCGAGGTGGAATTGGTTAACAAAGATTGCTCCAGGGAGGGGACGTGGCTGACAAGCCAGACACTTCGCAGGCACAGGAAGCAGCAGCTGCGGAGGGGGCCGCCAGGTTCTGCCAGCAGCTGTACTGCCTACGGCTGTGATCTTGTCTGATACTGTCAGCGAAGCTGGGGCAGCCCGGGTCGGGAGCTAGATAGTAGAACTCAAAGGCAGAAGGCGGGGCAAGAAAGAGATGGGTCTCTGAGCCTGGCTTTTCTGTTGGTACCAGCATCCCGGCTGTACACATCACAGAAAACTCAGGCCTTATGATCCGATACATGTCATTGTCTGTTCCCAGAATATATGCAAATATCAGGAGCCCACCCATGTTTCGTATGCGCTGTCACGGGAAGCAGAACAGAAGAATTGGGCAACCTCCTCCACTGCCAGCAAGGAGAGGTTTTTGTGGTTTTCTTAAATCATCATCAGATGACATTAAATACACTCATTTCTATCATTTATCTTATGGTATTATGCCGGTGTGTCTAGAAGGATCTAGAGAGAGGCAAGAATGACAAAGATGATGAAATCATTTAGAAAATCAAAATTAAGAGCAAAGCTAAGGCAATTTGGATGGCATTCAGCCCAAAGGTGGAGAGCTATATTCAAATACCATTCCAAGAGCAGGAGTATCATCTGTACTATGTCCTACTCAGTAAAAAGAAAAGAAGAAAAAACCTGGTACACGTGGGTAATTTAGGGTAGCCATCAGAAAGGGCTTGCTAATGACAGAATGATGGCAACAGTGGTAATAATACTGAGCGCTCTGCCGTGCTCTGGAGGTTTTAGAGCACGTTCACATTACTCTTCATTTTTCTTAATTGGAGCTGTGAGACATCTGAACACCCGTTTCATACAGGCTACGGGGTGAGCCTCAGTAGCACTTTTCAACCTGAGATTATCTAGGCCTAAGTGTCTAGAAGTAGGCATGAGCAACACAGCCAGCTTGGGCCAAATCTAGCTTCTGGTCTGTTTAATCCACAAGTTAAGACGGTTTTTCATTTTTACTTAATTTATTTTAGTGGCTGACTTTTAGGAGTCTAAAGCAAATACCTTTGCAAAACACACGAGTAAGGAGCAGGGTGCTGGCTCATGCCGGGAAGTGCTTGTAGGAGGGAGGTCTCAAGTGTGAAGTAGGCCTAGGCTACTTTAAGTCTGGGGCCAGCTACAAAATGAAAGCTTGTGTCTAAAAGGATGGCAGGTGGGGCCCTGGCTGCTCTGGCTGAAGACCCAGGAAGCGCTCACATGATGACTAAGAACTGCCTGTAACCCTGGTTCCCGGGGAAACCACACTGCAGGCCTCCACGGGCACCAGGTAAGCGGGCGGCGTGCATACATACGTGCAGACAAAACACGTATGCAAACAAAACATCAGAAATAAGGTGGGAGTGATGGCTCAGCCGTGAGGGCACCTGTTGATCTTGCAGAAGATCTGGGATCAGTTCCCAGCACCCACATGGTGGCTCACAACTATCTGTAAATCCAACCCCAGGGGCCAAATTCCTTCTTCTGGTACCTCCAAGGGCAGCAGGCATGTATGACGCACACACCACATATATGCAGGCAAAACACTAAAAAACACAAAATAAAAATAAATAAATAAATCTTTTAAGATGCTTAAAATAAACTTTTAAAAAAAATAACAAGGAAATAACATGAAATTCAAATTTCAGTGTCTTGGAATAAAGTTTATATATATATATATTTTTTTTTTAATTTATTTTTTTTATTTTTTATTTTTTTTTTAAGAAATAAAGTTTTACTGGAACGCATCCAGGTTCGTTTATCTGCGTCTTTGGCTGCTTTTACACTACAAGGGCAGACTCGAATATTTGCAAGAGAGACCATATGGCCACGGAGGCCTAACACACTTCCTGTGTGGCTTACAGAAGAAGTTTGCTGACCCCTGTTCCAAACCAAGAGTGCAGTAATTCAGTGATTTATAGTAGTACTTTATGACTGCTGCACAGCTGATGGTGGCACATGCCTGCAGTCCCCAGGACCCTAGAGACTGAAGACTGACGGAACCCAGGGCTTTGAGGCCAGCCTGGGTAACACAAAGAGACCTTGTCTTCAGAACAGACTTTGAGGAAGAGGAGAAAGGAGAGGTGGGGATGGGGAGACAGCGCTAACCCTCAGTAGCTTCCCTTTTCACTTTTATAAAATTGTGGAATGAACTAACGGAGCTATCCATGCAGAGTGAATGGCCCTTCCTGAAATGCTTGGGACCACACGTATTTCTCGTCTCTCTGGATTTTGATACATGGATGCAGGGATCCAAATTCTGGCCCCCAAGTTTGTGCAGCAAGCTTTTTTAACCCCTGTACCATTCCTCCTGCCTCTGTCTCCCAAGTGTTGGCATTACAGGAGTCTGTCAGTATCATGCCTACTGTCATGGGGTGCTGGCAATCAAACCCAGGGTTTCATGCAAGCTGGGCAAGCCAAGCACTTTACCCATGGCCCTTGCTGTCTCACTTTTGTTTCCTCTTGATCTTCCTCCTCTCTAGCCCAACACACCCAGGATAGGAAGAGGAGACCTCCAGGATTAGAAGGTTCCAGGCACTGTGCTGGGTATTTTCCAGGGTCTTATTTAACCTTCAAAAATCCTTGAGGTACAGAGACTCCTACCACATAGTTGGTAGGAGCTGAAGCAGAAAGTCAAACCCAAACTATGTGACTCCAGACACCTCGTGATTGCCTCAGCTTTCAACATTTGTGGGACAGACTTGTGCCCTTCGAGGCTTGGGCTCATCTCCTACCTCAAAATGCTCAGTAGTATTCACAGCCAGCCGCCAGAGAAGGATCCCTTTGCCAGGCCACCCCTCAGAAAGACACTCTCCTTTATTTGGGTGCTGGGTGTATTAGCTGTCTCTGAAAAAATCCTTAATTAGCTGCCCTGGTTGTATTTGCATAATGGATTTCACTTTGTTCTTAAGTTAATGGTGTTTTTGTAACAGAACAGTAACCTCTTGGTTCACAGCCATTAAAATAACTGCTACCCTGTAGGGCAGAGCCAGGGTTATGTAAAGGGAGTTCAGTTAAGAGTTCAGAGGAGTAAAAGAGGATGCAGGAGTGTCTCCTGCTTCCTTCCCCAGGAGTGTCTGAAGGTCAGTGACAAGGAGCCCTAAGGTTTGGAGAGAACCAAGGACAACAGGGAGCTACTTCAGGGTCACTTCATGGCCAACAAACAGTCTGGCCCATGAAACACCCTCATTTGTTTCCAGGGGATAGTGTGTTAATAAATGCATCTGTGAAGCTGTTATGGGGGAGGATGCTGCATAAAAAGATAGGATACTAGGGGCAGGAGAAAAGGCTCAGTGGTCAAGAGCACTTGTTGCTCCTGTAGAGGACCCAGCTTCAATTCTCAGCACCCACACAGCAGCTCACAGCTACCTGTAACTCCAGTTCTAAGGTCTGATGTGCTCTTCGGACTTCTCTGAGCACCAGCTACCAGGCACACATGTAGCTGCACAGACATATTTGTAGACAAAGCACATAAAATATACAAGCCAGAAGTGGTGGCCCATGCCTTTAGTCCCAGCACTTGGGAGGCAAAGGCAGGCAGATCTCTGTGAGTTCAAGGCCAGCCTGGCCTACAGAGTTCCAGGACAGCCAAAGCTACACGGAGAAACCCCTGTCTTGAAAACACAAATAAACAAACAAAAAATATGTACATTATTTTTTTCAAGTTAGGACATGAGTAAGAATACACAGCTGCCTTTTCCGCTTTGACCCAGGCCCTATCAGATGGCTCCGGAAGGCTCCATCAAGGCCTGCCCTGCTCTAGGTATCTGCCCACAGGGTTTCTTTAAGTTTTCACAACACAACCTGTACTACGTTGGACCCAGGGTCTAACTCAGGCCTGGAACAGGGCTAGCAGGGCTGGTGGGGAGAGGATGACAGTGAGCAGAAGGCTTCCACGTGACTGGCCCGACCTCCGAGGCTTTTAAGTTCACACCTTACAGCCAAAAATATGCAGAGCACCTGGAGGGGTGGCTCCCCTACATTCAAGGTCTTCCTCCCTTGCCCACCTGTGCAACTGGGTTCCAGCCTCGCGCTCCAGCTGGGCCCACATCTGATAGCATTCATCCATCATCCTTGTGTAGAAGTCCTCCGGATAAGCCCTTCTGATTATGCGGCTCTGTCCGTTCGAGCTTCCCCGGGAATGAGGAAGAAAGAACTAGAAGCAGGGGAACGAGAGAAAGACAATGGAAGCCACTGCCCATTGTGTGACCTTCCCTTTGCCCTTTAGGAGTCATCTCATCCTTCAAATGTTTCCCTTTTTTTTTTTTTTTTTTTGGTCCTGGGTATTGAACTTCTGGCCTTGCACATACCACACACTAGGCAAATAAGTGCTCCGAAGCTGAACTATAGCCCTAGACCTCTTTATATTTTTTTATTTTGAGACATGGTCTTATTATGTAACCCAGGCAAGGCCTTAAACTTGCAATCCTCCTGCATCAGCCTCCTGAGTAACTGGCATTTAAGGCCTTCATCACCAGGCCTACCCATTTCCAACTATTTCCATACAGTCTTTCCAGTGGCTCCTTGCATCCCACTGACTGGAGAGGCTTTTGGGTTAGTAGCTCCTCAGGAGCACTGACAAGGCTTTCCTTTTGTAAATAATCCTCCACACCCCACTTAGACAAGCAGAAAAGCAGAATTAGAAAGAACCTTCCAGATTACACAAATCTAGCACCTTAGTTTTACGGATCAGGAAAAGGTTCCCATCTCATGTGTCTTCAGGTACTCAGAATAAGGGAACAATCTTGGGATTGGGGGTGGGGTAAAAAAAATGGAGGTTTTCCTGAAGGATGTTACAGGAATCCCTGAGGGATTCAAGCAAATGGATGGAGAAACTGAAGACAATTTCTAACTATTCCAGGAACAGTGAGTGGTAACCAGCTTGGAGAACCGCAGGCATAAATGGAAAGGGAGAAGCTGAGGCGGAAAACTGGACCGTATAGGCTCCACCCCTGAGGGGCCCTACAGGTTCCCAGTGCCACCCACGTTTGCGGTAGTCATGTGACCAGCTTTCCTTTAAGGAAAGGAAGCCCTGTCTTAGTTCCTGCTATTACCCAAAGGTGACAGAATCAACAGACGCTCCTGCTAGTTCTGGAAGGAGAGGCTGAAAAAAATGCAGGGAAGAACCCTGCTTCTGAAGCTGGTACATCAGCCTTTGCCTCTAGGCAAACTGCCTTTATTTAAAGTTAGCTAGAGCAGAACTGATTCTTTTTTTGGGCCGGCTTAACCATTTGGGCACAGAAAAGACAGGGTAGCAACAATGAAGAGAGGTGGGACACTTCTTGATCCTGGGCAAAAACTGAGAAAAAGTGAAAATAATACACCAAGAAGCCCCACATGGACTTGAGGGTGGGAATTTTCTCTGAATTGTCAAGATCCACAGGAAGTGGCTACAAAGCTATGAAGTGCACAGAATTCCTGATGTCCAGCCTTTTGGCGTCACCCATTGCCTGCAAATTCTGGAAAGCCCTCCCAGGAGAGGAAGGGACAGGCTCAGACAGCAGAGGGGCAGAAAGGACAGTGTACCTGCTCCAGCACGAGGACCCTCTTCGAGTGTTTGGCCAGGTGGTATGCAGTGAAGCAGCCCTGGATGCCTGCTCCAATCACAATAGCATCCCAGAGACCTTCCTGAGCGGCCATGATGCCACAAAGCCCGCGAAGGAGAAAGCAAAGTCACCTCCAGGCTAGAGGAGGAGGAGGAAGACAAAGTCCGGCTTGGACAGAGCTCCCACAATCCCCTGGGGCCCATGTCCGTGTCTTTCTTTCCCTCCCCCAAAAGCCTGGCACAGGGCTCGGCCTCCGCCTCCCCTGCAGAGCAAAGCCGGGTAGACTGATTTGTGAGGGTTAGCCCAGCTCAGCTGCCAGCCTCACCCCTGCATCCCTCTAGTTTGCTATTCTTGGCTCAATTATTGTCATGCAAATGGGCTCCTTCCTATGCCACCTTCCTGTCTCATTATGATCTTTGTCTCAGGGCTTCGGCCCCGGAATTTCAATGCCTCCTAGACCAAGCTGGGCACCAGGAATGTAGCCTCCCCCTGCTGACTTTCCTCTCTGCAGTTTGATTTCCTCTAGAGATCTACAGGGCCAGCTAAGAACTTGGCAGGATGCCCAGTGTTCGGCCCTCCTCCCTGGTGGGTGGTGGGGTCAGGGGGTAGATGCAGGGGCCAATTGGGAGGGCAGTTTTGTGATTATGAAATCATTCTCAGTGTGTTTTACTTTTATGTTGAAAAGGGAGAATAAATGATCTGAGGGGGAAAAAAATAAAACAACAGGAAAGGACAGTGAAAGAAAGGACCTTGTCCTCAGGCACACAGGGAGCCAGGCGCCAGCCCAGCGCACTTAGGGGCCATGTGTAGAGAAGGCTTCTGTGCCAGGCAGCAGGCTCAAAGGGTATTGTTACAGGCACTGGGGACAGAGCCAGGGTTGGCAGGTCCTGAATCTTTTACAATTTAGGGGTTCATTTTAAGCTAAAGAGAAAAGGGACTAGAGACATAGTTCAGTTGTAGAGTTTTGTATTTGGCATTCTTGAGGTCCTGGGTTCAACCCCCAGCACTAAAAATAAAAGAGAAAAAAAGAAAGATAAAAATTAGTCATGCAAAATTAGATGGCAGGACTTAGACAAGACCGCTCAATTAGGGAGCCCATGGTTGAAGTTTTATTAGCTTCCTGGTAAATCTGCCTCTGAATACATTATCTCATTAAATTCTCATTTTTTTGTGTGTGTGTATTTTTATCCTCATTTTTGGCAGAATAAAGATAGCCTCAAGTTCTCCAACAGTCTTCTGATCACATGCTTGCCCAACAGAACAGTGACTGCCACACTCTTTCCGACCTAGGCCTTTGGGCAACAACCTCTTCTTGACCTGGAAAACTCAGCCTTTGACCCTGAACCATCATGTTAGAAGTTCATCCACTTGGCGAGAGAGAGAGAGAAAGAGAGAGAGAGAGAGAGGATGAGAAAGTCCCAGTGTGATGCCAAGAGTCACACATAAGAGAGAAGCCATCTTGGACCTCGTGCCTAGACCAACTAAACAGCACTGATTGACCCAGTCAGTGCCTCATGACCCGACTTCCTCCAGCCAAGCTGCGTCAGTATTCCTCAGGTTTATGAAGTCAGAGGAGATGTTTGTTTTTAGACAGTAACTTTTGAGGATGGTTGTTTATGGTCATAAAAACACCACCAAACAGCCAAAGATGGCAGGATCTGCCCAAAGCCCCATACTCGGTGTACCAAGATGCTAAGACATGAACGCGGCCCTGTCTGCTCCAGAACGTACTGGTTCTTGTCATTGTTTTACTTCTCGTTTGGATACGGGGTCTCCTGCATTGCCTCACTGGCCTCCGACTTGCTTTGCGGCAGCAGGTGTCCTTGAACTTCTGGTGCTTCTGCCTCTGCCTCCTGGAAACACAGACTCGATGTGAGGCTGGGATCAAGCCGGCTACGCAAGTACTCTGTCGACTGAGCTGCATGCCCGGCCTTGGGACACTTTCACTGCAGTGTGATAGTGACAGTTAATCAGAGCTTGTAGTCGTGGCTCTGATGTCAACATTTTGCTGTTTTCCTGGTGGCTGTAGAGTGAAAGAGAGAAAACAGCAATGTGGGGCGCAAACGCTCCAGTCCATGGACAACCCCAGAGTGGCCTTAGCAACCAGCAGGCTGGCCAGCCCTGATAAAATAGAATGGGAGCCCAAAGAGGGACTGCCATCTGACTGGATTTTTTTTTTCTTCTAAAAAAAAAAAAAAGTCTAAAGGTCACCACATTCTGTTCCCATACCCCACAGAGGGCAGGATAACATCTGCCTCACTGCTGGGCCCATCCGTTACAGTAAAATAATAGCAGATATAATCAAGAAAAATATGGAACCCTGAGTGTGTAAAGGCTTGATAGAAATATATAAGATCAGCCCCTGGATTTCTTGTGATAAGATGTCAGCGGAGATGAACAGCTTGCACGCAAGGAGAAGCAGGCGATAAATCCTTGCATGGAAGTGTGCCCAGCCTTGCCAGCAGTCAAAGAGAAGGGAATTAAATAACTCTGAGGTACTATTATGTGTCTATTAAATAAACAAAAATAAAAATGATACAGCCTTATTATGTCGTGCGTGATGCAGGTGGTAATTCAGGTATGTGGCATGTGCCGGGGTCATGCACAACAGGATGAAATAGCTCAAACATTCTGACCTAGAAATTCTACTTGGTGAACCATTCCCCCGGGGGAGGAAAAGGCATTTGTATGAAGACATGCATATCTGGGCTCTTATAATATTAAAGAAAAAAAATGGAAACAATCCCACATGAGGGAATAGCTAAACAAATGCTGACTTGTGGACACATGCAACTCTGGGTAGGCTATTCCGAATGGCAGGCAAGAGGACCCTGCTTTCTAGAAACGCAGATATGAAACGGATACAGAGGACCGAACACAGATGACACACGCTGATCACAGCCATGACTTCTGTGCATGCTGATCAAAGGAGAAATTGGTGAGGTAATTGAGCTTAATGCTCATTAGTTCCTGTATTCTATAAAAACGGTGCCTCCATTCACGATTTATAAAAGAGGAAGAAATCCCGGGCGAAGCGGACGCTCACATCTCCCTGGTCAGGACCTGGGAAGTTTTTTTCTTTGTTCTTAATCTCAGCTCTTCCTGCTAACCGACATTGTTCAGTCCTCCGTGGGAGCTTCGGGGAGGCTGCCAAGCCGCTCTGTCTTCTCCCCCGCCCCCGTTTAATATAATATCCCTTCAGAGATAAAATGACAATCCCATTTCCCCGTCCCCGCTTCGCACGCCTGCCCTGGATTCCTGGACTCGAGCATTCCGCTTCTTGTTAAGAATTTCAAACGGCGGCTCCAGCCTTGAAAGGAAAAGCAAATCTGCTTCTAAAGGCTTCCCCTTCCATCAGGATTGCCCGTCCTTGCGGATGTCCTGACAGGGGCAGGCACAGAGAAGGATCCCCTCAAATTCCATCTTAACACCCGTCCTGCAGCGGGGAACCGTTAAAGGGCGAGGCGACAGCCCTGCAGCTCGCGGGCTGGGCGTGTCCTGGGGCAGGGACCCTGAGGATTGAGGCCGAACTGCTCCTCCGATGGCGTGATTGACACTTCGCAGACAGGGGTGGAAGAAACGAGCTAGGGAGGCCGCGCGCTGTACAGGAAATAATGAGAGAGGCCGAGGAGGAGGGAGAGAGCCTCCTGCTCTGCTTTGCTGAAGCCTGGGGCAAGGGGGCAGGCAGACCCCCGAGGGCAGGTCCTGCCCGCTGCGGGGGGGCGGGGGGTGCCTGAGAGGATGCAGGGTGTGGGACCGCAAAGACCAGGTCTCAGAACACACCCTGGCCCACCGTCCTGTCTCAGGATGATTGCCGGCCTCTTCATTCCAGTTTCCCTCAGGTCGGGTCGTCTACCCACCCTTAGAGACACCTCTAAGGGTGGGTAAATGTGGCCAGGTTAAAATTTCCTTCAGAGCTGCCTTTTCCTATCAGGACAAAAATCTGAACTCAGCGTGGCACACAAGGTGGTCTTCGCTCTGACCTCCGCTGCCTCCCGCTGCTCCACCACGGACCCTTTCTCACTGTGCTGCTGGCACCGTAGCAACGCTGAGCTGAGAGGTTCCAGCACTCACTTGATTTCCAAACTCCCAGGCACCCCCAAGCTGATACATGCCGTCTCCCCACGCAGCAGAGACTCCGCGACAACAATACGAATATTGTGCTGTAATTGTTTGCATGTCTGCCTTCCCCCTACGCCTTTTAAGAGGAGGGAGTCTCCTTTCTATTGTCATTTTTCATAGGTAATACGTACACATGGAACAACAGTAAAACGCTCAAAAGAGAACGCTGTGGAAAGAGCCTCTCTTCCACCCAGTCCCAGAGCTCAGCTCTCCCTGTCTGAGGCAGCACGGTTGCTGGCTGTTGTCTTTTGCATCTTTTCAGAGAGCTGTTCTGTGAGTTTACAAATCACTGATACAGTGTGTACATTGGTGTGTGTGTTCCTATATAACACCCTGGCCCTCTCATTTCCTTTCTCTTGGCGATCCACATCAGGAATAAGGAGTTGGCACATTGCTGTGATGGCTGCCTCGTACACATGGGTACGAAGGAGGTGTTCGGCATAGAGACAGCACCCAGACAAGCTTGCGAGGATTCTCTGGTTGTAACAGATGTCCTGGATCCCTAGAGCTCTCTGGCTCTTCTGGTGCCGAGTGTTCAGCAAGGGAGAGATGCCTCTCTGAGCTGCCCAGGACACTCTCCACCTAGACGAAGGTGGTGCAGGTAGGACACTGAGAGGCCCTGGCGCTTGTTTTCTGCCTTTTCCCTGATTTTGCATTTATTAAATGGCAGTTATCAGAGTCAACTCTGCACCCTTAAAAGACAATCGTGTAATCGCTAGGCTGATCCCAAGGAAGCGAGAGAAATGAAAGTGCTGGGAATTGGGATTGACAGCTCTGCAAAAATATTAAGCCATCTTTTTGTCTGACAGAGTTTGGGATACAACTATAAAAGGGTTCTCCTGAGCCTGGCATGGTGGCACACACCTGTAATCCAGGCACTTGAGAAGCTAGGGCAGGAGGATCGGGAATTCAAAGCCATCCTCAGCTAGATAGCAAGTCTGAAGCTAGCCTGGGCCCCACAAGACTCTGTTTTTTGGTTTGATTTGGTTTGGGTTTTTGGGGACAGAGTTTCCTCTGTGTAGCCCCTGGCTGTCCTAAAATTCTTTCTGTAGACCAGGCTGGCCTCGAAC